TCCCCATAACGATAACAAGATCCACATTCATTCCTTAAGAGAAGGAAAGAGAAAAAATAGAAGAAATTTATAATAAGTTTGTCACTATTAAGAACTTGAGAACATTTAAAAGTAAGAAATTGTGAAAAAAATCTCAATTTTTAAAGTCAGAAATAAATTTTTGCAAATTTTGGTTTGAAAATCAAACATTGAAAACATGACACAATTTCTTATACAAATAAGTATTCTGTGTTGTTTGTTATTAAAGGGGACTAGGAATTAATTGTGCCGATACATCACGATTATTGATAAGAAGGATAGAATCACGGTTCATCGGTGAATCGTTGCAGCCCAAGTGTAATGATAGCAAATATTAAAATCCAGTTGTTGCAAAACCAATTGTCAAACTTGTGTGACAGCTCCCTTGTATTTAGTGCTATCCTTCAATCAACAACCAGTAGATATAATATATATTATGTTAATAAGTCTTGCAACTTCTGTAGATATAGAAAATCTGTGGAATATCCCTTATAAAACAGGGCCTAGTTTTTCTGACTCTACTCCAGCTGATAACTTTCAAAATTGCTATCAGAGGCTGGATGTTTGAGACTAGAAGAGAGTGTGAAATCTGTAACATTTTCATGTCAAATAGAATATTTCACCTTGCTAAGACTTAGGACTTTGACTTAGTTGACAAGAGCTCTTCTTTTACTGTCATGATATTTTGAAAATGACTGTCAGGCTAAGAATGATCTTTTGAATCCCAAATTTTTCTTTTGCAGATTTTGCCAACCATACAATCAGCCAATGAACAGACAAGTGGAATTTTGGTAAGTGTTATATTTTAATCCAATTTTAAGTCCTGTATGATTTAAATCTAAAGATAGATTTTTTTAGTCTTTTTCGCCAAAATGAAATTTTTCAGGTTGAATTGAAAGACTAGATCTATGAGACTTATTAGAAAAATAAAGAAATTGGTGAAGTTATTTTTCCAGTTTGAATTGAAAGAAATTGTAGGTCCTTTATTATTTAAATCGATTTTTTAGTCTTTTTTTCTCATTCAGACTAGGTCTATGAGACTTATTACAAAAAAAAAGAAATTGGCGAAATTATTTTTCCAGGTTGAATTAGAAGAAATTGAAAGTAGAAGTGAAGAATATCCTATGACAAGAGCCTTTCTACAGTTATTAAATAACTTAACTAATATACCTATACCTGCTGCATTAGGTGCTGGTTACAGATCACCTGGTTTTGATCCATATCTAGAATTTATCATCAATAATGTCTTCTTGAAATTCTATACTAGAGCTTATAAAAACAGCCAGGAGAAGGTAAGAAGGTTGATTGAAGACTATGGAGGGAAAACTGTCAAAATGCACCATATAAAACTGTGGAATCAATTTAAGCTGATTCATTGCGCAAGGTTCACATGTCACTGGGCCTGCCTAGCTGAATATTATATGCATAAGATAGCTCTTGAAATTTTTCATGGCATTATCTGAATGCGTTTTCCGAAACTTAAAGAAGATGAATTCACGTTTGAAAAATTCTGTAATCTGATTGGTTTAACAAAAACTAATTTGAAATCATTATAGGGATTGACCAATCGAAAGACTGGAATAAAAGACTTATTCAAAGTTTTCGAAACATTTGCCCTAGGATGGTACTATGATAAACTAAATTTGAAATAGCAGGAGTGGTATGTTAGTGCCATTACTAATGAAAATACTTGATATAATTCCAGTGGCAGATAGCTGTTTGCTGTCTAGAGATAATGTGTAAACTATTACATGAACATGAAGTTAAAGAAACAGATTTTATAGAAACAGTAGTTGAAAGACAAGGTGGTGGTACGGTATCTACTAATAAACCACCTGGTCATTTACTCTTATTATATATGTTGAATGATTCCGGTTTACTGAAAATGGTAAGTACTAATTCGGTTGTCAAAATGTACATGTACTTAGGTTTACTTTGGGGTTGCTTGATTGGTGAATTCTGCATTTTTTGCGGATTTATAGAATCAAACAGACGTTCAATAAAATAAATAAGTTTTAGAATGCGTTTCACGTGTGCTGAAAAATAGGTGGTGACAGAATCCAAAATGGCGGAGAAGGAAATAGATTGAAAGCAGAATTAGAAGAGACAACCTGTTCAGAACTCTCCAATCGAGTGTCATTTTGAGTTGTATCTACTGGACCTGACTCAGTGGAAATATGAAATAAATTTATTTTGAAGCATGAATGACTTAAAGACGTTAAATTGCTTGTTTGCTATTCCGAAGGTCCTAGCACTGAGCGCAATTGGTAGCCCATTTAGGTTTGGATTAGTAGGGTGAAGTGAAAAAAAAACACCAAATAGCAATAGAAATTTTGAAATTTGTTTACTGTAAGACTTGCAATATTTTACTCTAGGCTTTTGCCTTCATATAAGACTATACTTTTGCTGAAACAATCTTGGATAACAGGTCTAGTTTGTAATTCTTTTGATCTTTTCTAGATTTTACGACTGTTAGATGATGGGATAATGCAGTTTGAAACCTATACAAATTTTCCAGGTTAGTTAATGAAGCTGGTATTTAAAGAGTAATCTAGAATTCATATCCTGGCAGAAGTAACAGGGTTCTAAATTTTTGATATTGTCAGTATTGGTACCACCTTATCAATAATACAGGTCTGTGAGACTGACATGTAATAAACCATCTTATCATTCAGATAACGATAGGAATTTTAAATCCCTTCTCCTTTCAATCTGTTTAAAAATTTCTCATTAAAGAGTTGTGGAATAATAGGGAGTAAAACTGTTTTTAATATTATTTCATTTAAATTTACTATGAAGACAGTGGTGGCACCAGCCTTCTTAGACTGGGGGTACAAATAGGGGGCAAACTGACTCAATGGGGGGACAACTGCTGAGGCTGAATTCAAATATTGGCTACTCTGTGGTGGTGTTATAGTCACAATCTTCTCATAGATTGTTTTAGAGGGGTCTCTCTAGAAAATTTTTGAAAAAATGAATTGATTTTGTGCGTTCTGGCACATATTTTGGAGAAAAAAGGTAAACATTTAGATTTGTTAAAAATAAAGTAGGGGTACAATTGGGGACTTTTCACCCTCGCTGGATGAAGACTGGCTTTTCAGTAAGGGGTCACTCGACCAGTAACTTCTATATATTCGGAATTCCTGGAATCAAGTGTACATTCAATAAAACAAGTTGGAAGTTCAGAACACGTTTCACATGTGTCGAAAAAATAGTAGGTGCAGATGTAATTCAAAATGGCAGAGAAGGGAAAAGATGGGAAAATTTTGAATGCGACATCTGCTTTTGATTGAGGGCAGAATTGGATCAGCCAGAACCTGTTCAGATCTCTCAAATCGAGTGTAAACCTTGTCATCCTTCATTTTCCTCAGTGTATCACCTAAATTGTAGCATTGAAAACCATAATTGTAAAAAATCAATTTCAATTCAGGTAAAGAAGATCTAGAGAAGGCATGTTTATTATGTTTAAGAATGATAGAAATTAGTCTAGATAAAGAAGAGAAGTTTGAAAGAATGATCCGAGATTCAGGAACGTCTGTAATGATAGCCACCATGGATAAACTCTTATTATCTATTAATCCTAGATCACGTAAAGCTGATCATCTGGTTAACATTGCCAAGTAAGTTATTTGATTAAAAGGAGAAATTACGACGTTATATTTTTTGACAAAGAATTTTAAAAAGGCTACTTAGAATGCAAAATGGTTCAACCTATGAAGCTGTAATTTGGTCATATCTTTGATAGTTTTTGACAAAACCTGAAATAAAACGTGTGGCTCAGTGAGTTAGACGCTTGCTCGCTCACATGAAGGTCCAGGGTTCAATCTCAGCATAGGTCGAGATAATACCTTCGGATTTTTCAACCCGGTTTCCCCCTGTCAGTGATGCAGGTTAGAGGGGCTGACATGGAAAAAGCGTCTAGTCGTTCGGATAGGACAATAAACCGATGCCCCGTATGCTACAGGCTGTTCCTGACAGTTGGAAATCGCAAAAGAGCAGGCTAATACAGCTGTCCTGGCAAAATTTCCCCCATTGCACCCTGCATGGCGTTGCCCGTCTTCATTAGCCCACATGGTGCAGGAAAGTAGGACGTAAAACTCCATTCATTTCATTTATTTCTGAAATAAAAAGTGGTATTATTTTTTCTGGGTCACCAGATATATGGACACAGCTTTATGGAACAGAAACCATAGGTTAAACAGGAGAGAAACTCATTAAATATTAATATTAACAAATTTTTTACTCTGTATTTATTGTTCGTTTTATCATATTCCAGATTTGTTATATTCAACACTCTTTTACCAGAACATGCATTTTCTACAGCTAGAATATTATATTTAGTATGTAGATCAGCTCCAATACAAACAGAATTAGTACATCTATATACCTTAGATGAGGTAAGACAAGTGTAATGGTCAACATATTCTCCTATCTTAAATTAGTCATTTTGTTAGGTGACCTCACATCATAGCAATTATCAGTTGGGTATGCTTGCGAATAATGAAAGTAGTCATGAGTTTTGAAAGCAACTTACAACTCATTTGCATGAGATTTGCCTTCGAAACTTGAGACTGCTATTCTTAAAGGAACCGGTGTGTCATTTTAGGGGTTTGATTTTAATCTTGAATATATGTAAATAGTCTTCAGAAGAACAGATAATTCACGACACACATAAATTTGCAGGCTCAAAATTCAACAGTGAGCTGTAAACACTGTTACTGATTAGCTCAGCTAGAAAAAAATCCCATTTCTGAGACAAAAGAATGATTGGTCAAAAAATGGCCTACCTGTCCCTTTAAACATGTGTTCATTGAGAGAAAAGGATAACATTGCAGTTCTTGTTATATTGAAAATAGCTGACATTGCCTCTTTGAATGGTGCCCTGATAATTTTTTTTTTATCATTTAAAGAATGTAAATCGTGATCTAATGCAAGGATTTGTAGAATGTTTAGAAATAGATGATGCTGAGCCTAGAATAGATAAAACTGATTTACAAGCAGGTAAATGATTTATTATGATATGTAGAACATTGTTTCAGCCTGTTTAATGCTGGGGAATAACATGTAGGTCTGGCTATCCATCTTGACATGGGTTGAGATACTCGCTTATATGCAGGTAGAAGGATCTGATAATGAATTGATACCATCTGATGCACATCTTATATCTTAAGACTGTTGAAAATTGAAAAAGAGTGGATGCGTCTGTAATGGTAAAATTTTCCCCCTTGCATACTGATGTTGCTTTTCAATTTCATAAGCCTAATAAAAGAAACTAAAATTGAATACATCGTTAATTGTTATGAAAATTCGAATTCTTTTCAGAAGAAGATTTTACGACAGCTCAGATAAAGAATGCTACAAGACAACATATTATACAGTTAATGTTATATGCTATGGAACAATCAGCCCCTAACCTAGCTCACTGGTTATTAGGTTTTGAGTTACGTAAACCTGTTGTAAAAACTAACCTACAAGACCCAGGTAGGTTCTATAACACCTTCTCTTTTGTCTGTCAGTGAATAAGCTTATTTTGAGCTTTGATGCTCAATGGGTATATTATTTAAAGCTGAATTCATTCCACCTTTCCTGTGATTTAGTAGGTTTTGTTTTTTTTTCTATAAAACAGGGCCCAATATTTTTTGGTTCACCCAATATGCTTGTAATGTACAAATATGTCTCAGATTGGATTCATTATTTGACCTTCAGCCCTTGAACACTGAGGGTCTTAATGCTGCATGCTATAAAATAGGTATAGCAGGTATATAATGTATCATAGCACAGTTTTCATGAGTTAACCCATTTAAACAGCCTAGTTATAGCACAGATAGGCTCCTCCCACTTGTTTATACATTGATAAGATCAAAGGAAATTCTCAATATCATATTATGAATCATTTTGTAACATGGCTGGTTGAACAGCGGGAACTAATTCCATTTCTTCATTTGTCGTTACAGGTGTATTAGGATCACCTAAGACATGTCTACATTCTATATTAACATTATTAAATAATGGAGTAGGTAGTCGGACAGGACCAACATGTTTACAGCACACACCAAGACTAGCTGAATTAGCTTATCATCTTATCTATGTATTGTGTGCTAATAAAGATACCACAGCACCAACATTACGTTATCTGAGAACAGCTCACGATTTCTTATACAGACAGTTACAACATCTACCTTTTAAATCTACTGATACTGGTAAGCTTGGAAATTGACCATTGCATTTTTTATATAAACAATATTTTGTTGATAGTGAAAGAGATTCGGGAACAGGTTTGCACCTGTACAACCCATCTCCAGACATGGACGTTTCCCTGTGTCAATGATGCAGGTAAGAGTAGCTGACACGGAAAAAGCGTCTAGTCATTCCGATGGGACAATAAACCGAAGCCCTGTGTGCTACAGACTGTGCACATTAAAGATCCCTTGACAGTTGGAAATCGAAAGAAGAGCAGACTAATGCCGCTGTCAAGGATAAATTGCCTGTTTTCATTAGCCCACATGGTGCAGAAAAGTAGGACCTAAAACTCCATTCATTTCATTTCCAGACATCAATTGATAAAGCTCAATTTCAGCCATCTGTATCACTTTTCCAAACAAAAATGTGACATGTAGTTGGTCTATGATAAAATGAAAATGTACTGCCACAATAGTTATCCTGTGTTATCATCAAAGACATAACATGGATGATATCTGTGTCAGCAAATATTAGTATTGACCTTGAAATTTAGATAAATTAGATAAGTTTTATTCTTCCAAGTAATCAAATTTCTAATTGCTTTACAAATTCCTCTGAAGGATTTTTGTGCAGAAACTGGCATCAGAGTTGAAGTTAAATATTTATTGCAGATACTGTAGGCCCTCAGTCCTGGTTGTTGAAGACTATAGCTATAGAGTTGAGATTAACCAGTCTAAATAGACAACGTTCTCATACACAGAGATTGTTATATTTATTATTAGATGATACAGAAGATCATGCCGGTGAGTTGTTGTTTTGTTTTTTGTTGCTGAATTTAGCTAAAAAATGTGTAAACATTGGGTGAAATGCTACTAGGATTGATTACAAGCCTGTTTACAAGGGACATAACTTTCATTTATTGTCTGACAAGTTATGTTAAAGGGACAGGTGTGAGGGGTTGATTTTTGTCTTGAATATATGTAAATAGTCTTCAGAAGTACCAGAAATGTATGAAAATCACATAATTCCTTTAAAAATACTTCAAACTAGAAATTTTATTCACTATTTCTGTATATGTTTTTCTATATATCATAGAGTATCTTAAATTGACAAGTCGTAATTTCAACATTCAAACGCAGATAATTCTGGACACTGAACACTATTACTGATTGGCTCAGCTAAAAAATTCTTCTTTCTAAGACTAAAGTATGATTGGTCAAAAAAAAATGGTCTACCTGTACCTTTAAATTTCTTGACATTATGGTATTTGATACATAAAGTGGTATTTTCTCTGAACTAGATTAATCAAACACATTTGATTCTGAGTTGAAAGTAATGCTGTAAGAAGCCTTCTTTTAAGAGTGACTGAAGTATTTTATTCTTCAAGCTTTCGTCGTCATAGATTTCATCAGGTGACAATGTTGAAAGCTCTAAACTCTGAATTATCGTTTGTCAAATAAGGTTATCAAAATGGTGGAGTAGAGGATGTTATAGATGTATCAGGATGGGATAGAGAAACGTCCATGTTTGTTAGTGGTACAGCTTCACAGAATAAAACAATCGCTCGGTCAGGTCAGTTGACATTTAATGATTTTATTTTGCTGTGTATAAATACCGTATCTTAGCAACCAAAGTTTTGAGGCAATGCAATTAGTTTATAGCTTATATTTTTAGGTTTTTTATACGCCCACATGGAAATGTGGACGTATATTGCCGTCGCCCCTGTCTGTTGGTCCAACAACATTTCTTGTGAACACAATAGAGACTACAGTTTTCAACTGATTTTGATGAAATTTGGTGTGATCATTTATATTGATGAGATCTTGGTCAAGTTTGAATTTGACGATCTTTCGATGAACGGTTTTTGAGTTATTGCCCTTGACTTAGGAAAAACGCTTCAAAATTTGAGACAATTTTCAATTCATTTATTGAAACATGGTTTGATCATGTATATTGATGTGATAAGTTGATGTATTTGGGTTGTTGATATTGATTTTAAAAAATTTGGTGGAATTTCTCAGCATAGATAACTGTCAGTAAGAGAAAATTCATACTTTAATCACTAATGACTGTTTTATCATTTCTGACAGCTGCCAGTGGGCGTATGTTACCTTGCCTGGCAAGCTATCTTTCATATTTTCTTTTATTGAACAACTTTTAAGAATGGTATTCTGTATTTTTCAATGGTCCATACTTTTGGTTAGACATTGTTCACATTTAGTTCATGCTTATTCCACAAGCTGCAATTTTGGATGTTTGCTTTTATGTTTCATTTATATTTTCCATGATACCTACTGTTTTAGCCTTAGGGGACAAAATGTCACAAACTTTGAGCAATGAAGTATGAAATTGTTGGGCATGCTGAAGCAAGCTTGTGCTCAATCCATTTTCTTATCAAATTGATTATGTTTTCAGGAAAGAGAACAAGAAGAAAGTTACTGTGTCTGCTAGATTCTGTGACATTTAGTCAAGATTATCCAGAGCAGTTACAGCTAGATTTCTTTGATCCTAAGTTAATAGAACAAGTGATTTCTAACTGTGAGAGTAAGACAGAGAATGATGTTATTCATTGTGATGTTAGAGCCTTACATAGAATATTAATCAGTGAACTCAATAATCAACAAGGGTCTTTAATGGCCGGACAGAGACCTTTAATCATGGGGGTAAGTGATGTATCTTTTCATGTTTTTTAATACAAGGTATTCTGAACTATTTTATAAGAGACTGATAGTGCCATCAGTGACATTAGTGGTTCTTGCAAATCAACTTAAACTAGGCAATTTATGATGTCATTATCAAAAAAGCTTCTTATGATATCCAAGAGTCTTGGTGTTAATGACACCCAAAGATAAAAGAAAATTGCCGTCTGCTTACAATGCTTCATATGTTGTGAATAAAATGAACAAATGAAATGATCCTTTGTCAAAAAGAGTTGTATTTGATTTCCTTGCAAATTGACTGAAACGATTTATTTTTGAACAGGAAATTAAGCAGATATTAGCGACAGTAGTGATACGTAATAAAGTTCGAGGTAACCTATATACTAAAAGACAATCGTTTGAATCCTGGAGACAGGTAGCTGAAGTTTTATTAAGTGCCTGTCCAGAAGATGTACTTAATGGTGAAACCAGAGAAATAGTCATCTTTGAACTACTACAAGATCTTCTCCTCAAGGTAAGAATCAGACAGATTGTTTTTAGGATTTCATGGGCTATGGTATTGATTTTTCCTGACTAACCTGCTAATAAGTTTGTCGAAAAACTTTAACCAGTGATTGTTGTTCTATAAAGCTGTGTCTATATATGCTAATAAGTAGGTTAAATCCTTAAACACAGTTGAAAATTGTCAAGATTTCATAGGTATTTTGTTCATGATTAAAATTTAATTTCTGTTTTGTTTTCTGATAATTTTCATCTTGATTGAAATCTAACAAGCTTTCTACTACAGTCGTATTCTAGTGACGGTACTTTGACCCAATCAATGTCATGTAGAACATGTTTCTTGATAACATCAAATTGTGGGATTACATAACCTTAAGCAGAGTATAATGTGGATTTCGCTATCCCACAATTCATTCTGTTACCATGAACTTTCACTCACTCAAAGTCATGTAGAACATGTTTCAAATTGTGGGATAACATAACCGAAAGATGAGAATAATGTGGATTTCGCTATCCCACAATTCGTTATGTTATCATGACATACTTTGATTGGAATGTTGATAGAAAACTTGTTAGATTACAATAATGAAAAATTTCAGAAAACAAAAAAGAAACGAAATTGTAATCGAATTTTAATTGGATAGTGGATTCATTATGACCATACTTATGTATTATTTCTTCATCAGGTTGCAAAGGAAGATTCTTTACCAGAGTTAACTGCCCCTGTTGCTGGTGTGGTTTTAACACTGATGGCCAATCTACTCCAGTGTTTCATATCAGATGTTAGCCAATCAGAGAAGAGTTTACAAACAGCCAGTGCTCAACAAGCTGGTGATGGATTGAGTGCTGGTATATCTAGATCAACCTGGAGTCAATCTGCTGGTTCTAGAACATTGTTTGCTACATCACTCCAACTGGTTCTGAAAGGCTTACTAGATTACATTCTCAAAACTAGTAAGTATAGAGAAAAACCATTGTTACCAGGAATACTCATCAACAAGATTATAACCCATGATGACCATTGTTTGACTTTAGGATTCCAAACCCCTTATCTGACATGGGCTACAGCTAGAAGGGATATGTGTGCATTGATGAAAAACTGAAAAATGTAGGCTTATGTTGTTGCCATGGCAATTTCGCCTTAAGTGTATTGCATGTCTTCATATTTGCATTATTAGTACAAAAAACATCACATTTCATTTCTCTTGATGTTGTGTTCTGATTATTATAATTATCAAGTCAGTTATTTTGATCTATGTGAAGTTGTTCACTAGGGTTCTTAGATTGTGGATATCAGTTTATTCTCTTCTATATTTATAGGTGCTGGATCACAGAGAGTAAGAGCTAATCTGTATGGGTCACTGTTATATTATTTACAAATAGCTCAAAAACCTCAATCAGTACACAATAAAGGTTAGTTTCTGTTGAAATTGTTTAGGAGGTAGTGAGAGTCAGTAGAAAAGAAGGAAACAACTATATTTTACAAGGATAACAACTGAGGTTCACAGTTAAGGATCCTTTCTACCAGCTGGTCCCAGGCATTTCTCCTTTCCTGGATTATCTGTACCCATTTACAGCTGGGTTGACTGGAATTATGTGTGAAGATGACTTATTCAAGGTCATCGGACACACACATTAAAAAAAGCAGGCGCTTTTGGTTCTTTTCATGATGTCATCTGCTTGATTATGTTAAGCAAATGGTGTCTGTGGGTTCTAATCTCGATCGGTTTGTGATAGTTTGTGTGATAGTTGAATATGTCATCTTTAGTTGTATTTCCCGTCAACCAAGCTGTAAATGGGTATGGATTATCAATGCCAAGTAGTTTGGCCAAGGATCAGCTGGTAGAAAGGATCCTTAATTGTGAACCTAAGTTGTTATCCTTGTGAAATATAGTTGTTTCTCTCTTTCTTTTTGTTTGTTTTCATCAAAAGCATTCAGGATATGCCATTTTATCATCACTGAATCATTTCATGTAAATGAAAAATGATTTTAGTATGTTTTTCAACTATAGAAGATAGAAGTACAGTGAGTCGTGTGTTAGGAACATCTGATACTGAATATGAACAGCTAGCTAAAGAAAATATCACCACTATAATGGGATATGGTGATAATTTTATGGATGTTGTTTGTAAAGATGCTTGTGATGGACATGATATAGGACGGGTAAGATGGCTACAGATATTATCTGATTATATTTCTAAATCAAGCACATTTCAACTCTTGTATCACTTTGCAGAATGAAAATAAGATGTGTGGTTCATCTGCAATTGAGTATAAATATAATATACAATAGAAGTGAAGACAGACAGGATATATAATTATTTTTAGGATAGCATGTTAGTATACAACTGAGAAACTTGTCATTTTTGATGGTAAAATTTATTCAAATGTATATAGCCCTAGGGCTGGGCGATATACCGGTAAATACTGGTATAGGAATTTATATTGTTAATAATATCGCCTGATTAAAATATACCGAAATATCACCATATTGTGATATAATGGTAGTTATCATGATATAACTGAAAATTTTTAAAGATATAAGATCATCTACATAATTTTAACAAGTAACTTAATATTTGAAACAGATGTTTTTTTGGTGATGTTAAAGACTGGGGTGTTTTAAGAGATATTTATTGTTTTATGTTACATTTAAAATTTCTAGATCATAATTTTCTTTCTAAAACCAATAAAAAACAAACTTAAAAAATATCACGATATATACCCATATCGTGATATATTAATGCTTAATATCGTGATATCAACTTGAACCAATATCACCTAGCCCTACTGATAGTGAAGTGATAGCTAGTAAATGTTGAAAAATCTCTTGAAATCTTGTGACTATTACTTTACTAGTTTATGAATTAAGTTCAAGCTTTTTTTGGAAAGTAAGTCTTGTTAGAATGACATCAAAACCAGGTTCCATGAAGAATTCCAAAGACATTTTTTTTTTAACATTTTAGATGCTAGCTCTATCTGTACTAGATATGATTGTATCAATGGATGTCTATCAACAGTGGATGACTTATTTAAGTGGCAAGGGATATTTACAACACTTGGTGGACAGTTTACTACAAGATGACCTTGAGCTTCAGAAATTATTACGCCCTAATCCAGAACAAATTCGAGCTATGTACATATACCAGTCAAAAATGGTAAGTATTAAATAGCCAAACAATTTGTTGAAAATGTTCTTTGACTCGATTACCTGCTCTGGGACAGTCAGTTCAGCTGAGTTATACCTACCCCTGAGTTGTACTCAGTTTCAAAATGGAGGTTTGTCGTCTTCTGTTTCATCATTATTACAGGTATGTCATTGGATCTTAAAAGTTAGTCATGTTTGAGTTCAGTGTCATTTTGAATGAAAACTTAATTTCATTTTATTGCGTTGGAATGTACATACACATTTCACTTTACTTTTTTGATGAAATCTGGTGTCATCTATTACAATAAGATCGTGGTCAAGTTTGAATTTGACGATTTTTCAATGAATTGAATTTTAGTTAATGTCCTTGACTTCGTAAAAATGCATAAAGACTTGTGGACAGTTTATGTCGAAATTTTATTAAATAATGTGTGTTTGTTTAAATCAACAATATCTTGCACAAATTAGATTTTTGGTATGATTTGACACAGATTGGTGACTGCCCTTGATATACTGAAGATAGTGGACCACAGCCATATACGCCCTTCACGGCATGCGGATGGTAAAAACGAAACATCCATCTTAAGTTTCATCAAAATCGGTTGAAAACTAAGAGAGTAATAGCATATTCAAGTTTTTGGGGCAAGGGCAATAACTCTGCTTTGAAAATAGCTAAAATTCGAACTTGATCTTCGTTTTATGAATATGTATACACATATCGAATTTCATATGATTCCATCAAAAAATCTAGTTTTTAGAGCATTTACAAGCAAATGTTGACAGACGGACGGACAGGGGTGCCGACAATATACGTCCACATAGAGAGATGTGGGCGTATAAAAATGTAGCTGGGAAGTGGGCAAAGCTTGCTAGTCAAACACTTGTTTCTTTAAATTACAGAGTTTATTAACCAGATTTGGTGAAACTACAGCTGGTGCTCATCTATTAATAAGATGTGGTATGATGCAGAAACTATCAGCTTGTCAATTCTTTGATTTACGACCAGATACTGATAGGTAAGTCATTATAATTATGAATTTTCAACCTTACTTGTACCATTATCTGGATGTAGTAAATGACCGTAAAAAACGTCAAATAGTTGACCTATGACTAAAATCAGGCACACACCGATTTTTATAGGCTTTGTCTACGCTTGTGGTTCCCAACCTTTCTCATCCTTCACACCCCTGGAGCAATCACCTGGACCTTTCACACCCCCAAAAATTTGTTTCATCCACATTTTCAGCATGTGCTGATGCGAGGTGCTCTCTCAATTCAAAACAAATTCTTCTCCTACACCAGTCGACCACACCCCTGACACCCTAGTCCCTCACCCCGGGGGAAGGGGGGGGGTCTATGACATCCACTAAAAAATTAGGAGTGATCAAGGAAACCCCATCTGTGTGGTTTATCTACATCATTTATTGTAACCAATACAACTACGGGTGTTATTATCACATGCTCAACATTTTGGTAGCTCTGCAAAAGAACAACAGAGGGGCTCTAGTCAGGATAAAGGATCAGCTAATGTCTACACATCCAAATAATTTGATGCTGTCAAAAAAAAATCCTACAAAGTTCCATCAAAAGATCATCTAGTGTGTGTTAGATTACATGATCAGGGCCACATAAACAAAAATTCTGATCATTTTTTGTACTGTACAATGCATATTCATTCCGTTGAATACGTCAAGATCAATTACTGTTTTCTGATCCTTATCAACATTGATAGAATTTACATCTGTATTTTCGTGGCATTTAGTAATTGAGGTATGAATATATGAACACAATTTTATGGATAACAATTACTTTAATAAATAACTTGCGACGTTTTGATGATGATACTTTCGTCTTTATAAAGCAATGATTGACCAGATGATTGATCATTGCTTGATAAAGACGAAAGTAGCATCATCAAAACGTCGCAAGTTATTTATTAAAGTAATTTTTATCCATATAATTGTGTTCATCTATACATCTGTATTATTTTGTTTAATTTCAGATCAGCAAGTTTACAAGAAAGATGTGATGATGAGTTTATACCAAGTCCATTAGCTAGATATCGTATATTATTATCATCAGCATTAAAACTAGGTCTAGCTATATTAACATCAGTTGGTGTAGAAAGTAAAGATATAGCAGCACAAGTCATGTTGTTTGTTGTAACTCACAATGAAGTGTTTACTACCATACTAAAAGATAGAGGTCCTAGTCTCTCATTACCAGCTTTAAAAGAATTAGCTCTCACTACAGCTTTAATAGCTAGAGCCAACTATCATAGTAAGTGAAATGTTGCTTTCTCGGGTGATAAAACTGAATTTGAGCTATCTGTATCACTCTTGCTTTTTGTCTCTTTTCCCATCTATATCATATTGATAATAGTGGTTGTTCATATATACAGCTTCAATCAATAAAATATAAAAAAAATTACAGATCTGCTACAGGCTGTACATTTTAAAGATACTATTGGGAAAAAAGAGTAGACTCTTACCACTGTCCTAGCTAACTTTCCGCTATTGCACACTGCAAGGCATTGTCTGTGTTCATAAGCTCAATCGGGTGCAGAAAAATAGGACATAAAACACCCTTTTATTGTCGTTTTTACATTACAGCTGATCTGGGTTCAGAATATCTAGATAATGAAACAGCTATAATAGAGTTTAAAGGTCATCGAGCTAGAATACAGCGTCAGATGATAGCTCTCTTACCACGTTACTGTTTCTCAGAGAGATATAATAAACAGTTAAAATCACTAGATGAATCAGAGAGACTAGAGAGTACTAGTGGTGATATACAGTCAGATATTAAACTAGCTATACAAGAAATATCATCTAATCTTCTAGCTTACTGTCGATCTTTACTTACTGAATCAGGTATGTTATCTATATGATTGAAATTAGGAACCCTTTTCATAAAAATATTAACGTTTAAGTCATTTTTACGCACTTAAATCGATTACCCTAATCAGAATGACGTCACAAATCGAATCTGATTTATACTGCAGGATAAATGAACATTATACTATTTATAGTTTCCAAGATGGCGGCAAGGCAGGAAGAAATTACCCATTACACGTAATGGTTTTGACATGTTGAACGCCATTACTAAAGCTACAGCGCTCCAAAGTTGATTTACTCGATTAACGTATATCAATTTGATTCGCTGCTACAATAAATGCGCTGATTACCATAATCAAATTTGATTCGATACAGGATAAATGGTTTTTTAGACCAAATCGAATCAGATTAACCCACAATAAATTCGACTTTGATGATTAAACATTCATCTTATAAATCAAGCAGGAAATCACGATGGGCATACATGAAGTTGACTTGGAATCCATCACAAAATATCAAACTCTCAAAATGTCAGGGACCATGACAAAAAGGGAAGGGTGTGTGCTTTTCGCTGATATTGTAATATTCCCTGAGAAAACTCAGAGCTGAACATGTGTACAGTGAAAAAAATCCAAGGGAGCACCACAGGCAAACAAAGCTGCCATGGTCATCAGGAACTTGGTGTTAACCTGGCATTAGCTGTTGTTGATCCTTACTTACTGAATCAGATTTTATCACAAGCATTTTGCTCACACCAATCCTTGGAGAAATTTCAGGAATTAAATATATAAGTCAACTGTGTAAAAAAAGTACATTTTTTCCAGCACCAACAAGTCAGTTTAGTAGAATAATATTTGGACCAAGTTTAGAAGAAGCTAGTGCTAGAGACTTAAATACATTAGATGGTAGGTTTGTGTGTTATTTATTTTGTTTTTCAAGTCCTATAGAGATGTTATCATATGAATATTTGCTTCCATATTTATGCTTTCTTCAGCATGTCAAAATGAAAATTTTCAAACCATCAAATAGAACATATTGATTGGAGAAATGAAAGTCATAGTATCTAGGCTGTATTGAAAAATTTAGCAATGGCAAATGGCAGCAATTTGATTGGATTGTACATTAGCGAATATCAGCCAATCAGTGTCCTATATAGAAAGTCTGTAATAAATGAGCCATAATGTTTGGCTGTATGTCCTTGCATACAATCTAATCAAATTGCTGCATTATATGGCTATTACAGTCAAGGTATAAGAAGACGTTTATAATAGCTTGACATTGTGAAGGTGGACAACTGTCTGTGAATAAGTTATAGTCACATTTCTTAAATTAGACAATGAAATGTACATGCGTGAAAAATGTGTTTTGTTTATTTGTAGATTATTCAATATGTAGTCTATCAAGTAGTACACAAGTACCTAATCTGGGTGTAGTAATCTACCAGTTAAGACATTGTACTAATAACTTTATGGCTGTATTTGATAGTCATAGACAACATGTACAGAAATTATCCACTTTAACAGAGCTTACAACAGAAGATTTAAAAGAGGTTTGTATTGTATATAGATAGAAAGAAAAGAAAGAAACAACTATATTTTACAAGGATAACAACTTAGGTTCACGAAGGATCCTTTCTACCAGCTGATCCTTGGCCAAACCTTTTGACATTGATTTTTCCCAGATAATCCGTACCCATTTACAGCTTGGTCGACTGGAATTATCAGTGAAGATGACTTATACAAGGTTATCAGACTGTCCCAGAGTCGACCAAGATTAGAACCCACAACCGCCATTTGTTGACATAATTAAGTAAATGACTTTATGTTTAGAACTGACTGCTATAGAACTCAAGAAAATTGATATTTAAGATGACATATTGTGTTGTCTGTGGTGCAGATTTCTAGAGCATTGCATCATGAAAAATTAGACTCTTTTAAGCAGCTTCTTTAAGTGTTTGTTTGTATCATTGTCGCCTTGGTGTTTTTCAGTTTTCCAATGTTATCTCCAATGAAAAGATGTCTTCACAACAGAAACAAATTTTGGCCAAGAAAAGATTACAACAGATAGTGAAATCTAAATCACAAGAATTACAGCATTTAGCCTGTATCCTTTTACCTGTATTATAGAAACAGTATACTAGACCGTATGCCTATGTTTAGATAAGTTTTTATGTGAAATTGGGTCTTGTGCATATTGTAATGTTCCCCATATGAAGTGGTATTTTTTTTTTCTGTCCTTCTATCAAACATAATTTTCTCAAAATTCTTAAAGGAATACTACCTCATAAAATGA